AAATTATTGAATTTTTTTTTCACTACTGGGGAGTGTATCCAGGGCCTTATACATATAAGATGAGCTCTCCACCACTGAGTGGTACCCCCAGCCCCCCATTTTAATCATTTTTATTAATATGTAGGTAGCTATTAAAAATGCTGAAGATTTAACTTTGTTTTTATTTCTGACTCTTTTTTGAGAGTTTGCGTCAGTCAACTTTTCATTGGGGTGACCAATGAAATGACCAATACCTGAAAGAACAACTTACAGGAGGGTAAGTTTATTTCAGGCTCAAAGTTTCAGAGATTCAGTCCATGGTCGACTGATTCCATTATTCTGGATCTGAGATGAGGGAGAATATCATTGTGGAAGAGCAGGGCAGAGGGAAGCTGCTCAGTTCACAGCAGCCAAGAAGAGGGGTAGGGGGGAGAGAGAGAGAGAGAGAGAGAGCCCAAACACATGAACTTTGCAGGGGACACCTCATACCCAAACCATAACAAGATTTGTGTTGTGTCTGTGTGCGCATGTGAAGCCAGATTCAAAATTAGGTAGTCAGTGTAGTTGTAAGGGTCTGGCGAAACGTCGGAGGGAGAGCCCACCCAAGAGACTGACTCCATGCAATTGGCAAAAGGGGATATTTATTGGGGATCCATTCCAGCGCGCTGGGACTCTGTGCTCACTCAAGAAGGGAGAGCAGCCCAGAGCCCAGAGCAGAGTTCAAGCAGAGCTTAAGTACACTTTTTGGAGAGGGTGGGGGGCTTTGCATACATCAGAACAAATCATCATGAGGCGCGGGAAAATTGAACAACAACCCTGAGTCAGGATTAGCGCATACATTGGCGGGAACAATCAGGGCAGGAGTATTGGTGCTCCTAGGTGGGGTACACATTCAAACTGATTGGTTTAGGTCCTGCAATGCCTACGTGCCAAGCAACTCGGAACCCTTAGCTATTAAACAACCAGAAAGTCAGTGGAAATATTTACTGGGCAGTTCCAGTATTGTCCTAACAGCTGCAGGGATTACAGGTTTTGGGGGTAGCAGAGGGACTCTAACAATACCTAGTCTTTTACTTTTTAACCCAATCTCTGCACTTTGGAAGTTTTAGGATGCCTGGTCTTTTACACTTTAACTCAGGCTCCGCGGCTTAGAATCAGCTTGGAAATTTTACCTTTACATAGTTAGGTAAATCGGGTCTAATATCATAATATCGAGTGAAATCTAAAATGGAGGCCATGCTGATAATGATTCTGGGAAACGCAGGACAACTCATGGAAAGGCCCTAGGCCAAAGTCCACCCCAAAGGAATGTTAATGGAACCCAGGGAACAGCCCCAGCAGATTTGAAGATAGCCCATCCCAAAGAAGTGTTAATGAAGTCCTTCCTGCCCAGATCACCTGTGTCCCAACCCTTCCCACCTACATTCCATCACCAAAACTATAAAAAGGGGAGACAACCGCCCTTCCACGGATTCCACCTCTTGGGTCCCCTTCTTTCTCCGGGAGAAGTCTTTTTTTCTGTCCTTTAATAAATTTCTAATCTCTACTCTGACCTTGCCTTGGCGGGCTCTCTCGTGTTATTCTTCAACATCGGGGAAGCAAGGACTCTTCACCGGCCCACAGTGGTAACACATGTGCAGTGCCAGGGATAGAAGAGCCAGGGCCTCTTGCACAGTTTCATGTCTTGTTCAATGTGCTTACCACAATGTTTGGCACTTATCCAGTAATAAAGCATCCATTTGTAGTATAGACCTAACTCTAAAACAGGAATAATGATGGCACCTATCACCTAGGGTTGTTGTGATTATTAAATGAGTAAAATATTTAGAATGCTGACTAAAAGAATAAGTACTCAGTATTCACTGTAAATTACTGTCAGTCTTTAGGTTGAACCATTTGAAATGGTAATTTTTATAGGCCAAAGTTTGACAAAACCAGCAATTTCATATGGCGCAACCTGTTTCTTTCAGAGGAAGGGACAGGCAGAAGAAAATGGTTAGAAGTATGTTTACTTGAGCATATTGTTTTTCAATATTGCATTTAAACTTCCAAATTTCCATGTTTTAATGTATTATTTCCTATTCTTTGAAAAAAAAAAAACCTTTAAAGGGATTGACTGGAACATAGATATTCTTTTATGCATTTACATCTCCAAAGTCTTCAAATCTTTAATTTTGTTCCTGAATTTCACAATAATAACTTTTTTTCAATATTTGAAGAATATTCTAAAATGTCAAACCTGTAACAGAATATAAAACCATCATAGAATATAATATTTGTTATAGGTTTGTTTCATTATTTTACACTGATTTATGCAGAAATGTCCTTCCTTCCTTCCTTCCTTCCTTCTTCCTTCCATCCTTCCTTCCATCCTTCCGTGGTGCCGGAATTGAACCCAGGGCCTGTATATGCAAGGCAAGCACTCTACTATGCAGCTATATCCCCAGGAATGTATTCTTAAAAAGTCTTATTTAAATCTCAAAGTGAAATGACAAAGTTAAATGAATCCAACTGAGAACTGGCCATTTAAAGAATAAGGACATTTGTAACTAACCTAAAATATCTACTCAACTGCAACAACTACAAGTATTACTTCTTCTTCTTTATTTTTTTATTTTTTGGCATGGGGTGGGGGATTGAACCCAGGGGTGCTTTATCACTGATCCACATCCTCACCCCTTTTTATTTTGTATTTTGAGACAGGGTCTTGCTAAGTTGCTGAGGCTGGTCTCAAATGTGTGATCCTTCTGCCTCAGGCTCCTGAGCTGCTGGGATAACAGGCATGTGCCTTGGTGCCCAGCATCTACACCCCTTTTTATGCATCACCTTGAACTTCAAATTTACCCTATGAAGCCCTAGCAAAGGAATAATATTCTGATTTCACAGATTAAAAGGCTTATAAGAAATAACGGGCCCAGGTCACCCTGTCCTTTGAAGTCTTTCAACATGTAACCTGGGCACATCCAGTTCACCTGCCTGTGGCCCAGAGACTGCCAATGTCCCCAGGGAAAAATTCCCACACCATGATGGGAAAGGTCTTCAATTTGTTGAGGGCCACCGCTGAGTCAGGATGAGGCATGGCACGGGAGTGGTTGAGAGGTGGCGCCAACTAGTCATTGAGATGATGATGGTTATGTTAAGCTGTGTATTCAATTGTATATTTGACCTTTACTGTCCAGCAATAGGGTGGCTCTTGCTGCCTCTGGGCGCTACTTTGGAGTTCCCATGGAGTTCTGGTGGACCTCGGTGGAAGTAGAGAGTGTTCATGGAGTGCTCCTGGAGTTGGGCAATAAAGCTTCCCGTTTGAACATACAAGTGCTTTGTGGCGGCTGGTGATTTGTGCCCAGCCAGACTGTGGCAGGAACTGTCACAAACCATTTGTCCAATGCATTTCTTAGTGCAAAAGAGTATGCTTATTAGATAAATAACCTAAAAAAATTGTTGAGGTTAGGATGAAAAAACACTGGCCAATTGACACCACTTACTGCTAAGGAGATGGATGTTGGATGCACATCACATGTATTTTCTAACCGAATTTCTTTATGGACAATCAAGGTTCTCTTCTAATGAATTTCTGATGCACGCGCCATCAGCCCCTGCCCCAACCACCTAGTCCTCAAACTTTGGTGCCTCCCCGTGTCTTCCACACCTTAGACACACCGAACTTGGCCACCATCTCACACACTCACAGCCAGAACTGGGCCGTAATGCCACAGGTCACCAGCAGATGTCGCAGCCTCAACACTTGACGAGGCCAACTTTCAAAAATGACTAATGAGCCAATCGGCAGCGGTTGAGTGCCTTCTGTATACTTGCTGAGCATTATGATAGGCGCTTCAAGTCAACCTCTTGCCAGTTGACTCCTGGGAGAAACGGTTTACAGTCAGGATTCAATTCGTTAAATCGTATATTGTGCTTGAACAAGGACCGGGTAGTGGTGTGAAAATTATTACAGGTTGTGATCAAGTGGCAAAGACTAGCCTGGAACTAAGGCTCTGGAGCCTCCATCTTCGCTCCGCTTGTCTCGCACCGCTTTTGTCTCAGCATGGGGATCCCGCCCTGGGGCTTTCCTTGCATCCATAGCCTTGCCCCCTTTCCTGTACCCTGTCAACTGCTATGCACCTAGGGCTGGTATCTGGCTGTCCTCCACTGAGTGGCAAGGTGGTGGTAGTTTGGAGGGTGAAGCGTGGGTAGAGTCACAGCTGGGGTGTGGCCAGGTTTGTGCGACCACATCCCCGGGTTCCTGCAGGAACTTCCAGAAGGCAGGTGGCCCGGAAGGTGGCACTGGTGGGGCTCAAGAGGCAGCCCTTTTACAGTCTAAACTCAACATAAAGTTTCTTCCTTTGGCCTCTGGGCCTGAGCCCCGCCCCACCTGCCC